TCCAAATGTGTGTAGATAAGTTGATTTTTGTTGACCTTGTATCCAGAAATCTTGTTAAACTCATTTATTATTAAATTATTATTCAATAATTTGCTGATTCTTTTGTATCTTCTACATGTATAAAAATATCTGCAAATAGTTTATGATGTTTGTGCTTTTATTTATTATTATTCCTGTTGCACTAGAACCTCCATTACTACAGTGTATGGGAAAGACAAGGTGATGTGGATTCCTTGTTCCTATTTTCAGAGCATAAGCCTTTACTATTTTACTATTTAATAAGATTTTTCTGTAGTTTCCTTGTTAGCTTTCTTTATCATAAAAAAATATGTTCTATTCCTAGTTCTTATACAGATTTAAATCATAAATGATGTTGAATTTTATCAGATGCTTTTTCTAAATCTATTAATAATCATATATTTTATTATTCTTGTGAACCCTGAAAAAAAAAACACCTACCAGTAAGTCTGCTGGTGACTAATTGGGCTCAAATAAAAATTAAAATTAAATGAAACAGAACCAAGGGGTCCCATTCTGCACAGGGGCCTCTCATGGCAAACTGCACTACTCACTGAAGCCTCTGCTCTGGACCGCCTGCCCGAGCTTTGTTTCTGCCTTTGGAGCCAGCCCTTATAAAGGAGTTCCTGAAGTCCTATTTCAACCAATAGGAGTGAGGCTTTCCCCATGGACTGGAGCTGCGCAGCTCTGACCGCCAGGTACCTTGGGCGGGATATCTGTCTTTATAAACCAGACCCCCAGATGACACTTTCTACCTAAAACTGAAGATTGTCTTTGCTAGGGGACTTCTCCCTGGAGCAGACAGGGGTAGAAGAGAACAGTTCTGGTGGAGCCTGGAAGCTGGGCAGAGCTAGGGCACCATCAAGGGGCTGCCTAGCTGAAGAGGGACCTGGCCCCAGGGCAGCCTCAGGGCTATGTTGTTTTCACAGCTATGCTGTAGCCTTATGAAGCTGTTCCACAGCAGTGCTGTATTGCCGCTGAGTTCTTAGCACTAAATAGTGTCCTTCTTCACCACACTGCAAACTGGGGATTCCTGCTGGCATTTGAATCGGTGCCAATGACCATGGGCTGATATTCTGTTAATGTGGTGAAATTAAATTATCTAGTTTGGAAATACACAATCAAACTTGCATGGCTGAAGTAACTCCAATTTGGCCAAGGTTTATTACTCTTTTTATATATTGTTAAATTTGATTTGCTAATATTTTATTTAGGGTTTCTGCACCTGTATTCATGAGCAAAATAGGTTACAGTATCAAAATTATGTTAATTTGGAATTGTTCCCCCTTTTATCATTGTCTGGAAAAGTTTCTATAAATTGGCATCATGCATTCACTAAGAAATTTAGTACTAATTGATAGAATTCACTGATAATGATATGTAGTCCTAGAGTTTCCTTGTGGGAAGATTTTTAATGATGGATTCAATTTTCAGAGTTTTTTGTTTGTTTTTATATTTCAAGAAATTATATTTGTCTAGAAATTTGTCAGTTTAAATTTTCAAATATGTTGACAAAATTGTTCATGATAATCTCTTATCTTTAAAATTATGATCTATAGTAAATTTTGCTTTGTCATTCTGTTTTTTTCCCTTGATCTGCTTCACCAGGTGTTTACCCATTTTTATTAGTCTTTTCAAAGAATGAACTTTGCTTTGTTAGTTTTTCCTGTTTTTTTCTTTTTCATTTATTTCTATTATTTCCTTCCCACTAATTTATTTTACCTTTCAATTTTTAATTGATTGGTTACATTTATGTATTACTGAGCTAAATGATTAACAGACCTTTTCATATCTGTTTTTTCATTGATCAAGCTTGTTAAAAAGAGAAAACTTAAACACTAGCATATCTTTACATATTAGGATGAGGTATTTCACACAAAGAATGACTTAAGGATAACTAATCTGTTTATGTGAAGACAAGACATTAAATTACCAAATATTTCCAATTTTGCCCAACCGCTTACATTTAAAAAAAAATACTTCCAGTATTTTAAAGTTACTTGTAAAACTAATTTTTAAAAATAATTTAGGGTCACAGCAAAACTGAGGGGAAGTAAGGAGACTTCCCACATAGCCCCTGCTCTCACACATACACAGCCTCACACATGCACCGCCTCCCCCATCACCAACGCCCGGCCCACAGCAGTGCATTTGTAACAGTTGGTGAACCCACATAAACACATCATCATGCAAAGCCCATACTTTGTATCATAGTTCACCCTTGGTCCCTCTACTTTTTAAATGTTTATTTACTGTTCTGCCTTAACTTATTGAGAAATTAAAGTAGATCATTTTCCTAATTTTCATAGTGAATTGCAGATGGTGCAGTTGTCTCACATGCTTACTTCCCAGATGCAGAATTCAGAAGAGGGGGATTGATAAAGAAAAACTGACCCTGAAATAAGGACATGTTAGAAAAATTTGGGGTAACATATTTTTGCATGATGTCAATGATTCTAATCTAAATTAGTCAAGCTAGACAATTTTCTATGCCATTATGTGCAGCTAAGACTATAAATTTCCTTCTAATCAGGCACTTAATCTTACAAGTTTTAGACATAGAATATTCTTACTGTTATTTAATGTAAAGTATCTTCTCTAATTTCCACCATAATTTTATCTTTTGCTCATGGGTTATTTAGAAGTATATTTAAAAATTTCCAAACATACAGGCATTTTGTAGTTATATTTTGTTATAGATTTTTAGACCAATTACATTGTGACCAGAGAATATACCACATATGAATTTAATCTTTGAAATTCATGAAATTTGTGTTAGGCTAACATAGGTCAGCTTTTATGAATGTTCCACATGCACTTGACAGGTATGTATGTTGGGTACAGTGTTCCATATGTCTATCAATCATGTTTGAATACCCTATATGCTCATGGAATTTTTGTCTACTTATTGTATTAGTTACTGAGAGATGTATATTAAAAATATTCCACTGTGATTCTGAATTTACACTATTTTGTCTCATAATTCTAACAATTTTGTGTTATGTATTTTGAAGCTATGTTATTAGTTATAGAGCATGAATGTAGTGACTCCAGCTTTCTTTGGGTTGGTGTTGGCATAGTACATATTTTCGCATCTTTTTACTTTCAATTTTTCTGTATCCTTAAGGGTTTAGGCATTACTCTGTCTTATGGTGCCCCTTTGAAGGAAATGTATCTTTTTTCATCTGGCTGGCCCTAAGTTTTTCTTTTTGGTTTTTGGTTTTATAAAACACGCATAGTTATGATTTTTTGTTTTTATTTTGATAAATTTCATTTTAATAAATATCATCTGAGAATTTTGGTAAATTTTGTTATGCAGTTTAAATATTGCTTCTGTGCCATTTTCTCTGGGACTACAATTAGTATTATATATTATACATTTTCATCTTATCTGTTATTTCTTTCAGGATCTTTCTTATATTTTCCATCCTTTTGTCTCTCTCTGTCTCACTCTAAATATTTTCTTTTGACTCATGTCCTAGTTAGGTAATACATTCCTAGAAATTCTGCTTCTTAACCTTTTAATATGAAGAAGTAATGAAATATATAAACAAAGATTTATGTTTAAAGATTTCCAATAACATGGTTTTAATAAATTACAGTATATTTGTACAATAAAATGTTTGCAGCCATAAAATTATGAGGTAGAATATTTAACAACATAGCAACATGATGAATTAAAGGGGAAAGTATAATAGATCATAAAACATATGATCCCACATTTTCTAAACGCATAAAAAAGAAAAAGTATACCAAAATTTAAAGTTGTTAACTATGCATGATGAGATTATGGCCAATTTTTAAGGTTTTTTTGCTTCTCAGTATGGTGTGAATTTTCTCAGTGATAAAATGTGTTGTTACATTTTGAACAAAAGTTATTTTCAAAATCTGATTAAATTACCAAAATTCCATTTTATCAGGTATATATCTGTTTTGTAAAGATATACGAGGTCTGTCCAGAAAGTATCCAGCCATGTACTATGAGGAAATAAAGACATTTATTGAAGAAGATATAAAATACAAGAAACATTGTACACAGGACAATGATACCCCAGTCCCCTTCCAAGTAGGCACCTTGGGACCTCACAGTTCTCCCAATCGCCATCTGCTGCCCTGTAATATTTTCCTGAATCTCAACAGTCTGAAATCTCTTACCTTTCAAAGGTGATTTTAGTTTGGGGGAAAGCCAGAAGTAGCAGGGCACCAATTTTGGGGAATAAGGGGGGCTAACTCACCTGGATAATTCGACATTTTGCCAAAAAACACTGCATGAGATGCGATGCATGAGCAGGTGCGTTGTCGTCATGAAGCTGCCAATCACCAGTTGCCCATAGCTGTGGTCTTCTGAATCATCTGAATAGTTCCCATGGAGCAGGGTTGTCCAGCCTTTCGGTGTCTCTGGGCCACACTGGATAAAGAAGAGTTGTCTTGGGCCACACATTAAATACAAAAACACTAGTGAAAACTGATGGGCACAAAAACTGTTTTAAGTAAATTTATGATTTTGTCTTGGGCTGCATTCATAGCCACCCTGCACTACATGCAGCCCATGGGCCACAGATTGGACACACCTGCAATGGAGGAATGTTCAAGCTTAACACAAAAATTGAAACATATTCATTGCTCTACTGGCCCAGTCATTTTGAATGTGATGGCCTCACAGTACACATGCTCACTAAACAGTGTCTACTGCCCCCGATTTCTAGAACAGTGAAGTGGTCATTGTTCACACATGTGCATTCTAGTCCACTCTCCTTGGCTGCCAGGTTGCATCAATGCAGCACAAACCATTCTCGTTATATTAACAATGGCTGGGCTTTTTCTGGACATACCTCGTATGTACATATTCTAGACTTTAAAATGCTTGGCTTAAACATAGATGCAGCCAGTGGAAATTAGTCATGATTTTATAAACACAAAAAAAGATGAGACAAATTTTTAAGTCTTCAATAATATCCGATGTTATTATTCATGTTACAAAGAATTCTTCACAAAAGTCTCTTCACAAAGTTTCTTTAACTTGGGTATTAATAGCCTGTGCTACAACGGCAAAAGATGTTTGCGGAAATATTTTTTCCGTTGTCTGGAGGCAGTTTCTATTACCAGGACTGTAAGTAAAATTACAAAAGCACTATAATTTTGTTTTTATTTTCCTGTAACATCTTATTTTTTCTTCTTTCAGGCCCTCTTACATTTTTAACATATTATTTTTTAGCCACTTCCACATAATTTCTAGATACTCATTCTTATGTTATTTTCTAAGTATCTAAAACTTCCTTCTTTCCATCTCTTCCCTCACAAATCAAAATTTCCATTTCACATCATAATTTTCCTCAGGGAAGTATGAAAACACTAAAGTTAGTCTTATTATCTTATTGAGTATTTCTCTGTAGTATTTCTCTGTTACCTATAGTCTTTTACTATTTGTAACTTTTGGAGAGATAGAACTGTATAAGGTAGGTTTCCTTTTGATACAATTCTCACATGACTTACATTTTTAGATTACATTTGAAAATGACGTTACGCAAATACAAGTCTATGCTGATAATCTATCTAATGATGTCACTTCAGTACCTACTCACTGCAAAGAAACCCAAGTGCATAAAAGTACTCAAATTTCTCTGTAAAGGCACCTTTATGGTCGTGTGGGTTTGTTTTAACTCTTCGATTGATTGATCAAAGATTCATGAAAAGCAAAGTCTAACTCATAGGTAATAGTGATTATTTTCTTCCAGGTATTCAGGCCACAGTAAAAGTATTTGTGAGACTACAGGGTATTGCAGTTACTCAGGCTGATGAGTTATGGTCTAGAACTTCCTCTGTCTTTGACATTTACTTCATTGACTCAGAAACAGATTCAGATTGGCACATCAAGAGTAAACAGAGTGTGTGTGTGCCCTGACCAGTGTGGCTTGGTTGGGTGTCTTCCTGCAAAGTGAAAGATCGTGGGTTGGATTCTGGGTCAGGACACACGCCTGGGTTGCGGGTTCGGCCCCCACGAGGGTGCACAGGAGAAGCAACCAATTGATATTTCTCTCACACATCCATGTTTCTCTCACTTTCTTTCTCCCACCCTTCTCCTCTCTCTGAACATAAATAAATAAAATCTTTAAGAAGAAAAGAGTGAACAGAGTGAGTTGTCTTACATAGCTGTGCAACTGAAAGAAGAGACCTGTTAAAAACACAACAAATGGTTTTCAAATCTTTGCTCCCATAATCATCTTAGCTCTTGTAAATCTTCCACTTCCAGATAATTTGACAGTTGAATTATCAGAAAAATTTGCTTAGCTCTCAGCAAAATTTTACCTGCTTTCCAAGGTAATGAAGATAATCCTCCCCACAATCTCCATCCCTCTTTCACCTTCTTTTTCTTTTAATTTTTTTGGTGGAAATTGGGATATAAAATAAAACCACAATAGCAACATTTCCAGATCAAACTTAAGCATTGGATATTTAAGTTTAGTGCAGAAGCAAAACTCATACAGGGCTTCTTTGACATTCATGAGTTACAATGCCACTATTCTAAATGAAGAACAATGATGATGAACACAATCAAGTCTGATACTGTTAAATGATTTGGGCTAAAGCCAGGGCATTTACCCTTGATTATTATTGTCTATGTTATTTATTTCTTTGCCCATTTGTAACACCATTAGATCTATGGATAGTCCCTGTGAGCATTTCTGTTGAATGGCGCTTACAGAAAATTTTCTAAGGGAATCAATTTAAATAGAGATAGAGTTTCATATACTTAGATTACCTTGTGAATGAAATCGATTTGCATTAGTTCCTATTACAACAAATTAGCTTGATTAACTTAGAATGAAATTACTAACATCATGCAAAAAAAGTTTTATGTTTATAACATATCCACATTTTAGGAACTAGGTTTTCCTCTATCAGTCCCACTCTACTGAATTCTACATTTGGGAAATACAAATGTGAAACTAGGCTGCCCATCTGCTATTCAGTGGGAAAGTTTCTGTGGCGATTTTGTATCATGAAGTAATTTGTTACCATGGTTTCTGAGAAACTTATTGTAACTCTGATTTTTTTTAAAGTAAAAGTAAATGTCCATTTTACACCTCACATGTCTTCTTAGATCTGCAATGATTGGAAGAACCTGCCTGTATTTTATTCTCTAAAGTATAAATAATACACCAAGTGATTTTCTTCCAAAGCTAATTTCATATCTGATTAATTTTAATTTCAATAAAAAGTAACAAGATAAAAAATAATAGAAATTGTGAGCCTGACCAACTATTATGTAATAACATAGCATTATAATTATTGTTGTTTTGGCTTGAACTTAAGACAACTATTTTATATTTTAAGAGAGCCTTATGTTTTACAAATTAAGCATGTAACTCTTCTGAAGCTAAATACTATCAGTAAGTACCCATGTGCCTTAAGCTTTTAAATAACCTTTTTCCTTAATTCAAACCACAAAAATCGTTGTAGGCCCATTCACTGCCAGATTTCACTGTCATGAGTTTGCTTCATTCCTACATGTTAGACAACTTTGACAGCCATGACAGGACTTTATTTCTTTCTTTTACTATTCAAATAGGGTTTTTTTTTCTTCATACAAATAGAGAATATATATTTAGTATGTTGATTCACATGATTTCATAATATGTTGTGTAATGTTTCACTGCAGTAAAGTAAAACAAAATACTGGCTATATTTAAAGTAACTTATTTTTTATGTAATACTGTTTACTTTTTGCATATTTTTAATTTTTTAAATATATTTTTTGATTATGCTATTATAGTTGTCCCATTTTTTTCTCCCCTTTTCCGCCTCAACCCTGCACAGTCCCTCCCACCAGCATTCCCCCATTCCCACACTACCACCCCCCGTCCCGCCTCCAGCCCTTAGTTCATGTCCATGGGTCGTACATGTAAATTCTTTGGCTTCACCATTTCCCATACTATTCTTAACCTTCCCCTCTCTATCTTATGCTTCTTATTCCCTGTACCTTTTCCCTCATTCTCCCCCCATTCCCTCCCCACTGATAACCCTCCATGTGATCTCCATTTCTGTGAATCTGTTCCTGTTCAAGTTGTTTCCTTATTTTGTCTTTGTTTTAGCTTCAGTTGATAGTTGTGTTTGTTGGCATTTTACTGTTCATGTTTTTGATCATCTTCTTTTTCTTAGGTAAGTCCCTTAACATTTCATATAACAAGGGCGGGGTGATGATGAACTCCTTTAACTTGACCTTTTTGGGGAAGCACTTTATCTGCTCTTCCATTCTAAATGATAGCTTTACTAGATCGAGTAGTCTTGGATGTAGGTCCTTGCCTTTCATGACTTTGAATACCTCTTTCCAGCCCCTTCTTGTCTGTAAGGTTTCTTTTGAGAAATCAGCTGATGGTTTTATGGGCACTCCTCTATAGGTAACTGTCCCCTTTTCTCTTGCTGCTTTTAAGATTCTCTCCTTATCTTTAATCTTGGGTGCAGGGTGAGTGGAGGCAGTCTAGCTTCCTCACCCAGGTATCTGGGTAACTAAAGGAAGCTGTGTTCCCATAGCCTTGGAGGGGCCTGATAAGTAGTGTTCTCATAGCCTTAAGACTGGGTCCAATAAACTGTTCTTATAACATCAAGTGGGCTTGCATGCGCAGAATTATGTTATGCTATGTAATATTCTGGCATCTTGCCGGCTTTGTTCTCCTCTAGTACTGAAATAAGTAGGGACCTCCTGCTGGGTGCAGTGGAGACACTTGCAAGGGGACAGGTGCCATGCTGGGGAGCAAGGGCCACAATCTGTGACACGCAGGGAGACATGCAGCTTGCAGCATGCATAACTTCCCCACCCATGAATAAAAGCATGCCAGACGTCCCAATAGCTTTGTGAATATTATTCTGTCTCTGTGAATACCATGGACCTGCCTGGCCTTGAATGGTCACAACACATTGCATAATGTAACTATGATGTGCCTTGGTATGTCCAAATTCTTGGGACACTCTGAGCTTCTTGGACTTCCTGGAAGTCTATTTCTTTTGACAGATTTGGGAAGTTCTACATTATTTATTCAAATAAGTTTTCAATGTCTTGCTCTTCCTCTTCCCTTCTGGCACTCCTTTGATTCAGATGTTGGTATGTTTAAAGTTGCCCCATTAGTTCCTAAGACTGTCCTCATTTTTTTGAATTCTTGTTTCTTCATTCTGTTCTGATTGAGTGCTTATTTCTTCCTTCTGGTCCAAATCGTTGATTTGAGTCCCAGTTTCCTTCCCATCACTGTTGGTTCTCTGTACATTTTCCTTCATTTCACTTTTCATAGTGTAGGTTAAATGGAGGCAATCTGGCTACCTCACCCAGGTGTCTTGGTAACTAAGGGAAACAGTTGTTCCATAACCTTGAATGGGCCTGATAAGTAGTGTTCTCATAGCCTTGAGTCTGGGTCCAATAAACTGTCCCCATAGCCTTGAGTGGGCTCCCATGGGTAGTATGAAGTTCTGTTGCATAAGATCTGTTGGCACTCTTCTGGCTTCGTTTGTCTCTAGTACTTAAGAAGGTAGGGACTCCCCGCTGGGTGCCATGACATGTGCTACTCAAGGGGACAGATGGCATGCAGTGTGCCATGCAGAGACATGCAGGGTGGCATGCAGCTTGTTGCATGGGTGGTTTGCCCACCCTTGAATAAAGGCATGTCAGACATTTCAACAGCTCAGTGCATATTCTTCCATCTTCCCTAATTATGTGAACCTGCCTGGCCTTAAGCAGTCACAACACACACAGCCTTCACTTCTTCCTCTATTTTCAGACCATACTTAACCATTTCTGTGAGCATCCTGATTACCAGTGTTTTGAACTCTGCATTTGATAGGTTGGCTATCTCTTCACCACTTAGTTCTATTTTTGGAGCTGTGATCTGTTCTTTCATTTGGACCACATTTTTTTGTCTCAGCAGGCCTGATACATTCTGAGCCTTAGGTATTTGCCAGGGCGGAGCCTCTCTCTTCACTGCATGGTGGAGCGGTATGTGGGGGAGGGATCTTGAGCGGGAACAATGCCACTTACTCAGCTTTCAGTCACTTCTCCCACTACCCACAAGCAAACTGAGCTCTTCTGGTGCTGATTCCTGGGTGGGTGGGCTTGTGTACGCTCTAGGACCATGTGGGTCTCTCCAATGAGCTCTCCTCTGAGCCTGGGAGTTTCTCCTGCTGCCTCAACCCCCACAGGTTTTTTTCAGTTAGAGATTTTGAGGCTTTATTTCGCCAACCTGGAACCCTCAGTTGCATGGTCTGTCTCGCTCCCCAGTTGTTCCTCCCAGTTTATGTGCTTTCAAATGTGGGACCACCTGCTCTACCACCTGCCACCTTGTTGCAAGTCCTCTTCACCCTGGCTGCCCATTTCCACCCCTCCTACCAGTCTGGATGAATGTTTCTTCTTTAACTCCTTGGTTGTAGGACTTCCCTACAGTTTGATTTTCTGGCAGTTCTGGTTATTTTTTGTTTTTTAATTTGTCATTGTCCTTCTTCTGGTTGTGTGGGGAGGCAAAGTATATCTACCTACTGCATAAATACTTTAAATTAATTTATTTTATTGCCACACATGTTTAATGGGGGAAGTTGGATTTACCTCAATACCTCTCATGTCGTTCTTCATTTATTTATTATTATTAAACTTACTCTGTGCCAGACAACTAACTATGCAAGACACTTGGCTACATTGGCAAATAAGGCAGAGAAAGATTCTGTCCTTTTGACACTTACCTTTTAGTGTGGATCTAGACATTGAATGAGTAATTTGAGATAGTGATTAGTGGTCTAAAGAAAGCAAAGCAGAGTAAGATGTTAGAGCATAATTGGGGTGGGTAAGAGGGTTTGCTCTTTCACATAGGTTAATCAGAAAAGGCCTCTCTGAGGAGGTGATATGTGATCAGAGACCTGAATGGTCAGAAGGACCAACCATGTAATTATCAGAGGGAAGGGCTCCAGATGTTAGGAACAGCAGGTGCTCCGGTATTTAGGAAGAGCATAAACTTAGGGTAGCTGAAGATAATGAACTAGGCAGAGAATGATAAGAGATGACATTGGAGTGGCTTATAGAACTAAACCATGTAAGGCATTTGAGGTCCAATCAAGAATATTTATTTTACTCTAGGTTTAAATTGTATTTAAATGTATCATATGGATGGCTTATCTGCTGGTATTTATTTTTTATACTTAAACT